GTCTGTTTTTAACAGAAGTAAGGAGGGAAAGAGGATTATTTATATATATATTTATCAATATGCAGACAGACCATCACTGCATTCCTAGTGGGCTGTTAAAGAACCTCTTTATGGGGAGAGATATGAGTCTTACTACAGTAGTTTTGACTCCATGCTCTGCATCCACACTGACTCTTCATTTCAAACTCCTGATTGCCGTATTGAATGGCCAGTCTCCAAGGGATTTTATTTTGATTTCTTTAACCAAGTAGAACTTTGTTCAGCTGGGAGTCCTCATCAATTCCCGATCGTGCAGAGCATTGTATTCACCTGAGTAGGAGCTAAAGAGTTTGTGCATGCTTTGCTGCTCAATATGGCAAGGGGCTGGATTTTACTGAGTCATTTGTATGGCATCTGGTTCTTCTTCAGGTGCCCCCAGTACTTTAGTTAAAGGAATTCTACTTTTGTTTGTTTAACTAAGTAAAACTTTGTGCAGTTGAGTGTCTTCATTGACTCCTAGGTAAGTTAAAGTTAATTAAAGAGATTCTAATAATGCATAAGATGAGGAAGTATGGCATGGGATAAGATAAAAAAATGCATATTTGAAATATGGTTGCAACTTAAAATGAAAAAATGGCTTTTATGTGCATATGCTTTTTGCATATGAAAGCCAGTTTGGTCTAGTGGTTAAGGCCCAGGCTAGAAACCAGGAGACCATGAATTCTGATCTTGCCTTAGCCATGAAAGCCAGCTGGGTGACCTTTGGCCAGTCACTCTCTCTTAGACCAACTCACCTCACAGGGTTGTTGTGGGGAAAATAAGGAAAGTATGTTGGATATGTTCAGCACGTTGCGTTATTTGCAAAAATAATGCAGATAAATAAAATATGCTACTTTCTGCATTGATCTTACACACTTTTCTCATTATGGCCCTGATACATTCACAAGTGGCTTTTAACCCAAAAGCAAGATTGTGTATCCATGCTTTAAAATAATGTATTTGTATTTATAGAGAAAAGTCAAATAGATTACCATTTTGTTTTAATACTTCAGTTGCTTCAGGCAGCAAAATAGGATGGGGGTGTGTGTTAAAGGGCCATCTTTTTTATTTGAGTTATATGACTCTACGTAGCTAGGCTGGCTCCAGAGTCCTCTCTAATTACAATAGAAAATGTAAAGTTGGCTGAAATACAGGTAGAAAAGTGAGTAGTTCTGCTGAAAAATGCATTTTCCAATAAAGCTTGCATTCAAATTGATGATTGCAATTATGCATTTTTAAGATCTAGTTACTTATTCAGCTTGTTTTTCTTTCCCCTCCATTCCTTTCTCATTTGTTACCTTTTTAAATTAGTAAACCTAATAGAGAAATAGTCTTCTTTCCTATTGGACCTATTTAAGCTCATTTAAGCGCTCATATTTTCAGATGAGAACAAAATAAAAATGCTTTAAATCAATAAATCTCCAGTTTTTGACTTTACACGCAGTGGAACTTACTTCTAACTAAATAGGCTTAATGTTGGGCAGGCTCATTGTTATGTGTTCTTTCCTCTCTCGTCCTTTTAGATTTTTCACCTATTAGAAGAACTGAAGGGAATTCAAAATCATTCTCAAAAATGGTGAGTATAGCCATAGTAAGGAATGTCACCTCAGTATCTGAGCACAACGCCTCAGCTACCCTCCTCTCTGTTGGCCTTGCTGCTCCCAACTGTCGTTTGCTGTCTTCTTTCTCCGTCTGCTGACGAGGCTTGCTCAGCTTGGCCCTATGTGAGGTAACTGCTGGCCATGCACATCCTTCTCTAAACTGCATTCTGTCTTCTTGCAATGCTTTGGAAAACTTTGCAAGAAGGCCACACTTGCCCCTCTTCAAATCACATGGGCAATTTCACAGGTAGCTTCCAACAAGCAGAATCAGTGGAGAAGCCGGCAATAAAATCTCAAGTTACAATCCTGTGATATCTTGCTTAAGGACCATGGATGATTTGCTTAATGACCACAGCAGAAGTGAGATCATGATCATGTAATGTCTCACTTAAAGAGCACATCATTTAGTGATAGAGTTGTTGTTCCCAGTTGTGGTTGTTAAGCAAAGACTAGCCCTAGAATAACACAGAGTTATTTGCCTTAAGAGGTTCATGTGTGGTATTCCTAATGTTTTTGAATGTTAATATGTAATAAACATTTTAATAGTATTTTTTATTAAAAAGTACAATTACAAAAGTAAAAATTAATTTAAAAAAAAGAAATAATGGAAAATACAGAAAAGAAAAAATAAAGCAAAAATAAGAATGCAGTAAGGAAAAAGAACTATATAATGAAATGACTTCCTCACATCAAATGTAAACAATTTTAATAACTTATTGACTTCTCTTAAAATATAACAGACAGTCTCTTTCCATATCCCATCTCTTATCTATAAAATCTTTAAAACCTAGTCATATCAGTTCTGATCAGCAAAAGTCCATTAAGGGTTATCAGACATATCAACGTCTATTTTAACCTTGACCAAATAAACCAATTTTATATTCCCTCCTTTACTTTTAGCAATTTTGCTCTTTAGTCTCTTCAAATAATGACCTAGAACCTGATTTCTTTTTGTTTTTGTTTTGTCCCTTCTTGATTGTTCAAAGCTTTGGCAAAGTAAATCCAATATAGGAAAAATATCAAGGTCTCTGTCTGGGCTTGTTATATATATAACCCTTTTAACTATTAAGTCAGCACTGGGCTTTTTTCGTATTTCAAGTGTATAATATTTTTCTATATCATTTTTGTGGCCTGTCATTTCTAAATCCACTTTCAGATCAGTCTCAATTTTGTCTAGTAAAACCTTTTCCTCTTCCATAACATTTTTAAACTCAGTCTATTTATAGAGATAGACATTCTTAAATTAACTTCTGAGTCCATTCTTCAAAAATAACCTTTAATATGTCCAATGTTAAAATATGTTGCTGTCCTCTATTAGTCAGTAAAATTTAAGTGTTCTTCTCCTTTAATTGTTTATTTCCTTCTGGTCCTTGTAGTCACCAACCATCTTAGCTCATTTTTTAAAAAAAAGAATTCAAAACAAAAGCATTTTCCCATGGGTATTCTTATAATTTATTTCAAATATTATTTCAAATCCATCTGGACCCTTCATTCTTAAACATGTATCTAAAATTTCTTTCTCTAACATTGAAGGAAACTCACCTGGTATAGTAAAACCTGTTGATCCAGCTGAAAAATAGTTAATGAGCAATTTCCAAAAGTGATTAGAAAAGGAAGTACACAAACCCAATGTCTTTTTGAAGGTGCCAGCTGCCCATTCCCTTGACTCCTAGAACTCTAAACCCACCAGAGACAAGTGTGGAGCACTTGTGGATGATCTTGCATCCTCCCCTTGTCCAGAGAGGAATTATCTACTTAACTGGCACTTCATTCCATCACAATTATCAGATCTGCTTTTAGTTGAGATGCCATTTTCCCCCCAGCATCGTAATAGCCATTTCCATTGTGTTACAGAAGACTGTATTTATATATTACATTTATTGTTACACCAGTTATGCTAAATTGTCCAGTATTTTGTGTATATTGAAGAAGATGGGTGAATTTGTTGCTGAAACATAAGGTTTGAACCAGAAACAACTTTGTTTTTGCTTTCTTTTCTACCTTTATAGTGTTGTTGTATCTCAGTGGACAAGTATGCTAAAAATAGTAGCAATACATCTTGACAAGCTTGGCCTGAAACATGCCGTAGTGGATGGTTCAGTAAACCCAAAACAGAGGATGGATATCGTTGAAGAATTCAACAACAATCCTAAAGGAACCAAGGTATGAAAAAAGCACTCTAAGGTAATTATTTTTCATTGCTGCTGCTTCGGAATAACTATTTCTAATTTTAGGTATTTGCCAAATTATTATTTTTGCACAAAATAGCAATTGGAATGTTAACTGACTATTCTATTGGCAAAATAATTAATCTGATTTTTATATTGGAGTGACTGATTTCAAAGGCCTTTCCCTAACTATTCTGAATCAGCTAGGATTGTCTGTAATGATAGATTGATAGATTACACTTTGCAACTCAATCTGTAGTCTGAACTGCAAGTAAAAGGAAAGCCTTCCACTGATTCTTTTCATAAGACAGTTTTGGTATTTCATGCAGTGTTAGATTCAGAAGTCTGCATTCTGAAAGTCACTACAGTTATAGTGTATGACTCTGTCCATTCGATCAAATTTAAAGCTCTTATAGCTGAAATCAATTATTCCAAATCAATGACAACCTGCATTGAAGTGAAGAGTTTCTGAATTTTGTAAGTCTTATCCTGTCCATGTTACAAAAATCTCACTGCATTCAGTGGGGCCATTCCCAGGGTAATGCAGAGAGAGAGAAAGCCCTGTTCTAGGAGGCAAGATCAAAAGAACTGATGTGAAAAGTGATTTCCACCTTTCCACATGAGAGTGGCAATATTCTTGTATATAATTGTATTTTTTTTTTCAAAAAGTATAGTTCTACAGAGAGTGTTCTATGAATTTAGAAAAGCAAATAAGAAAAGCATCTATTTAGAACTTAACTGACTGCATTTGTGCTTGATCTTAAACCAAGACTTTTAACTTAAGTCAGAAGACCTTTGTGGCTTAGTTTGCTTATAATGCTATACCTTAATGGGTTGATTTATACATTATTAAGACAAAGACAAATCCATCTTGTAACTTAGTGTACTTTGTGGGAATTTTGCTTTATATCTTCTCCAACCTGACACACTAGATGTGTTGGACTGCAACTCCCAATATTTCCAGTTATCATAGCCAAATTATAATACACATCTGGATGGCAGTATAAATCAGCCCTTGAATATATAGTATATCAATAACTTGTGAAATAATAAACCAACTATCCCTCTTGTTCTTATCATAGGTGTTGTTAATTTCACTTCTGGCTGGAGGTGTTGGCCTTAATCTGGTTGGAGGAAACCACCTCTTCCTTCTAGACATGCACTGGTAAGATACAGCAGCTTTTTATTTCCATGTTAGAAAAAATATGTTGTTTCCAGTTACAATAATTAAATCTGATTAAAAGAATAGCATTATTAATTGAGGTTCCCAAATTATGTCAATTCTTTTTGTCATTTGCCATTCAAAATAACATGTTAAATCTATACCTGTTGGCTGTTTAATGAAATGAATCTACCATCTCCCTGTATTTGTCAATTACCTTCTGAATTATTATTATAATATTTTCATCATGCCTTATTTTATATATATTTGTTCAACTGAAGATGGCAAACATACCTAAAACTACTGGCTCCTGTTTTCCATACAACACTCTGTTGAGATGGGTTTGGCTGAGAGTGAGTGACTGGCTGAAGCCCCCTAAATGGTTTTCATTCCTAAGAGAGCGTAGCGTTTTCTATGCCAGTACCTTAACTACTATACCATCTGGCTTTTAAATTATTTTTAATTGCTGCCCCAGGTGGTGAGCTGCTAGTGGCTGTTACTATCCATTACTCTTTCCATATTACATACTAACTGCATTGAACAGAATACTAGTTGTGCAACAGAACGAATAGAGAGGAAGAGACAGATGAATAGACACTGGGAAAAATGATGGATGCTATTACTGATTCTTCTAAGGAAAAGATGATTCTAACAAGGTAGAAAGGGAAATCTATTGCTTGCTATTTGGTTCTGTTTTCACTTTTTTTTGTTGGTTATAAGTGCTTTGTTACTTTTTCCTTAAATTTCAGGAATCCAGCACTAGAAGACCAAGCCTGTGACCGCATTTATCGGATGGGGCAGCAGAAGGATGTTAAGATCCATAGGTAGTGCTTCACAAAATGTCTTACATCATTGCTATAAGTTTTGACAGAGGAATTGTGTCAAGTACAGAGCTCAAAATTGCATGGGTAAAATTATTTCAGTTTGACTACTATCTTTAAAGAATTGTAGAAATTTCAGTTTGAGATTATTCAACTAGTTCAGTCACTTGATCCAGTGAAGAATTATCACTTAGCTGAAAACTAACTGGCAGTGCATTAGAATTTATAGGAATGATGGTTTAAAAACTGACCTAATTGTATATTGTGCTTGGGTTTAGATTTGTCTGTGAAGGAACTGTGGAAGAAAAGATCTCAGAGCTGCAAACCAAGAAAAAAGAATTAGCCCAGAAGGTGTTATCAGGAAAAGGAGAGTCCTTCACCAAGCTGACTCTGGCTGATCTCAGACTTCTGTTTGGCATTTAGCTGTTCATTTTTTAAAAAATTTCTTCCACTACACAGAATAAATGTGCATTTGAAAAGTTCGCTATTCTTTAATAAAATGGCCAATATTATTATGCTACAGCTCTTTTTTATGTGTAAATACTATTCCATGAAAAGAAGGACTTACCTATTTATCAAATTTAGGTATCACCCGTCTCACTGTCAGAGCAATTGTGAGTGATATTCAGTTAAAAGCATAAAAACCATTTAAAAGTGCAGGTACATCAGTAGAAGTAAATGGGTAGAAACAAAATTAAAATAAAAGGCAGGAGAAGGGCTTTAAGGTGCCAACCACCCCCAGGGTTGCGTGCTACTTTGTGAGCCCCATGTGAGTTGGCAGGGCCAAGTCTTCAAACTCTTTTGAAAGGCCAGGAGAGAGTGTCCCCACCTCACCTCAAGGAGGAGATATTCCTCAGGGTGGGGGCAATGGCAGAGAAAGCCCTCTTCCTATCCTGCCAAATTCTTCAGCTGATGAGGTCTGTAACACCTTCCCTGCTTGGCCAAATGGGAAGGACTGATGTGATGGGAATAACATGACCCCATATCATGCTGGCTTTTAAGGTAATAAGCCAGACCTTGAATTGGACCCAGACAAAAGCCAGCACCCAAGGTAGTTCATGCAGCAAATATGTTAAATGTGTCATCCCTGGGGTACCCAAGATTGCTTGTGCAACTGCACTCTGCACCAACTGATGCTTTGGATATTCTTCAGGGTAGCCCCATGTAAAGAACATTGCAATGGTCATATGGAGATGACTAGGACACGAGTGACTTAAGGGGGTCTCCTGATCCAGGAAGGGGCCTATCTGGTATGCCACACCGATTGGCAAAGGTCCTCTTTGCCTCAACTACTGCCTGCTCCTCAAGCAGGAGTCGTGATCCCAGATTATGCACCGGGTCTACCTGAGCCAGTGCAAGCCCATCCAAGCCCAAAATATGATAAATCCCTGGATACAGAGGAGCCCCCTACTCACAGCCACTCTGTCTTACCAGGGTTCAGCAGACGGCCATTGTTTCCCATCCTGGCCCCCACAATATGCCTTGTCTATAAAGTCAAGAAAATTCAGAAAACATTTTTGGTAATATACAGTATACTACATTCATAGGCTACAACATACTTGGAGCTACTGCACCAGAAATTGAATTGTCATATTGTGATTTTAATGCAATAGGATTTGTATTGGCTTTTGCTATTACTCTTGTATGATTCTTAGTCTTTAGATTGTTTATACATTCCATAAATAAATAAGCACATTGTGGATAGAAATGCAGAAAGATGGACATTTCTGCATGCAAATGTGGCTCAAGTATTCTTCAGTGTTCAGATGAGGACTGATGGTCATCCTGATGCTGATAAGATTAGCAATTCTCAATAACAGTGAGTGCTTTTTCATTCAATTGTACTATTTAATGATAGATATAGAAGCTGTTATATACATTCCTATGGCAACTCCAGTTTCAGCTGAGGGGAAGGCAGAATAGCTGCCTAATGTGTGGATTATTGGTACTTGACAAAAGAAGTCCAGTGAAGTAGTTTGGACATTTACTGAATAATCCAAGACACTAATAGCTAGTAATATAAAAAGCTGATGTAAGAAGGGTGTGGTCCTTTAAATGTGCTCCTTCACTATGTATGATTTAGCTAAGCTCTCTTAATGCTGTGTCTTGGTGAAAAGACAAAATGAAAGCTCATTTCATGTTATAATTGGTTACATTACAAAATGTATAACTGGGTAAATTCTGAAATGCATCACTTTAAAAAAATTGAGTTTGTTATATTCTAAAGACAGTTCAAAATAGTTTAAATAGCTAAAATATAGAGCAGTGTTTAATCTTAAAGTTGGTCCTAGGACCTCAGTCGGGTTCCTGAAGATTCTAGAGTCCATAAAATCAAAATTATTGGTCAACCAATGTTGAAAACTATTACAATATTAAAATTCAATCAAACAATTGTGAGGAGTGATAGTGGCAGTTAAATGCAACAATTTTAATTTTTCATATCTATATAAATAAAAATGTAAATGTTTGTTTGTTCAAAATCTTAAATCTCTGAAAGTTCTTCACTGATTGCTTTGAAATTTTGACACAACGTTGCATTCGAATACGCGCGTGTTTTTATATGCCTATATTATATAGATGTCACACCTGTGACAGGTAAAACATGCTTTTTTGAAAAACAGCGCCATCTGTTGGATGTAAAAGCAACACACGCTTTTACCAGACTGAGCCACAGCAACGCGTGGCTGGGTACAGCTAGTGATAAATATAATCCATATAAACATGCGTTCTCCATAATTTTTAAAAATGAAAAGAGTCCTGAGAAAAAAAAAGTTTAAGAAACTTTGATATAGAGGAACTTTTGCATCTGTTTTGAATTATGGATGTGAGGCTGATAAAGAAACAGCTACTGGTAACTTGTTTAATACTGAAAACTAGACAAGACTATATGTAACCTCTCTAAAAGTAATGGCCATGGGAAAGTTGGTAAATTTAATTCCCATATATTCAGTTTGAGATGTGAGAAAGTGTGTGCATGGTAATCCATGCAACAGTAGAAACATCAGTAGAATTGCTTGCACATAATCTAAAATGTTTTGAATTAAGCAGGACTCAAAGTACTGTATAACATTATGAACCCTAAAGCAGTCTTTCAGAGCTTTTAAGTGTGAATGCCTCATCTGTTGTAAAATTCATTACTAGTACCAATTTGAGAAAAGATTGCATGTATGTCAGGATGGCCGAGCGGTCTAAGGCGCTGCGTTCAGGTCGCAGTCTCCCCTGGAGGCGTGGGTTCGAATCCCACTTCTGACAAAAATCTCCTTTTATTTCCTGCCATGGTAATTAATATAGGCTTCTCGCAAAGAGCCCACTGTTTTGCAAATTTGAACGCGATCGCTTAATTATAAGCATACTCTAGGCTGTTCTTTAGTATAAACCAGGGGTAGGCAACCTCGGCTCTTTTATGACTCGTGGACTTCAACTCCCAGAATTCCTGAGTCAGCTATGCTGACTCAGGAATTCTGGGAGTTGAAGTCCACGAGTCATAAAAGAGCCGAGCTACCCCTATAGTATAAACAAACATGCATTCCCTCTCTATCTCAAGAAGGTGGCCGCTGCACGCAGGAGACATCGCTTCGTGGGTAAAGGGGCAGAGCCAAGATCAGAAGGCTGGAAACCCGACAAATCTTTCGGAGGACAACTTGCACGAGCTACACGGGTTTTTTGTTTTTTTGCAAACGGGTTCTTGTGAATGCGTTTGCTGGAAAACTTGCTGGCTGTTCTGGCTTCCAGGCTAGGTTTTATTCTCTTTCATCTTGTGGTTGCTCAAAATTTCTTGGAAAGAACCTTACTCTACGGAAGCTGAGATGGCCTTTTGTACAATAACTTCAGACCATGTGTAACGCCAAATGCTACGCCTGGAGGTGTGAGAACCCAATCTAAGACACGGAGCAACCCAAAGACGAGATGTTTAGTTTAATTCGATTTAATTCTTAAAAAACGAAATTGGCTTTCTTTTTTCGGATTCTATTAATAAACAGAGTGGCAATTTAAATAATCTGCTGAATATCCAACAAATGGGAGAACTGAAATAAATTGTAGTGGGTCAAATATAAATATTCCGCTTTGCCTCATGTTGTGTTTTGGATTTTTCATCTGATTCTTTTTGAACAAAAATATTCTTTATTGGGCTTCATCTCATTCTTTTTGAACAAAAATATTTTTCCTACAATGCAAAAGAAATAGGTGATGCAAAACGTGTCTGGCAATACAGTACAGGAGTTCAAAACTAACACGTTGTAACTTTGAGATAGACATCATAGGCACCGCTGGGATTCGAACCCAGGATCTCCTGTTTACTAGACAGGCGCTTTAACCAGCTAAGCCACGGCGCCCAAACTTGACCACAAATTCTTCCAGGAGACCCACTAAAAGAATAAAATCATTTTTTAAAAAATAATAGATCAATAAATCTATCCTGCAGTCTAGAATGGCAAGTCTATCCTAGAGCCACTTCCATATTTTGGTCAGATGAATCTAACCACAATGCTATCATGAACTGATCTCAGATTTTATGGTTGTCAGTAAAAAAAAACACCACAGCACTGCTTTTTCTTATCATTTTGTCATATATTAAACAAAAAAAATATGAGCTGATTTTACTAAACTTGTGTTCTCTTTAAGTACACAGACTCTTGCTAACACACTTTAGACTTCTCTGCAGATATAATGTTGGTGACATCACTCTTGTTAAACAAAATACAATGTAAAAATCCCTTTACAGTTGTCTTTGGCTTCAAGGATCGCCAAAGGGAAAAAAAAATACAATGTTGTTCAGATAGTAAGCTCAGATACTACCACTTTGCTCCTAATTTTGAGGTAAGACTGCTGGAAAGAAGCTCCAAGTTGCAAAAAATGAGTTAGAGAGCTCATAAGGAGAACATAAACAACCCGCCACAAAACTAGACTGCACATAAACTACACATAAAGTAAAAACTAACGTTTTGCAATGTTTTAACTCATTTTACTTCAAAGATAGCCATTGTCCTGATATCCTGCCCTCAGTTCTACCTGGATGCCCTTTCCAGCCCCTACCACAGAGTTTCTCAATCCTAGCAACTTTACAATCTCTGCCTCAGGGATTCTTGGATTTCATGAATTAAGGAGGGGATTTTTTAACTACAGTACTGGCCTTAGTTGTGACTTGGAATAGTTAACTGAATATCCTATTTTCTCGAGCAGGTTTATCAAATACATTAGAGTGGCATGCACATTGCACACTCATATAATAACATTGTCATATTTTATATTGTCTTTATCACCAATCAGAATTCATATGGCACACCTAGTGCATTTTGTTTGGCCTACACTGCAGTTTATATATTGCACTGTGGTTTAGGACTTACAGCAGACTCAGCCAGCAATTGGAGAAGGCTTTGAACATATTTAATTAAAATGCTTGCTTTCCTAATGAAAAATATGTGTGTCAGATAGTAATCTGAAGACATTTAAAACAATCTCAGTTTTAGAATTGATTTTCTGAAAGAGAGAAAACTTAAGCGCTTTTCTCATAGTGGGCCGGTTAGCTCAGTTGGTTAGAGCGTGGTGCTAATAACGCCAAGGTCGCGGGTTCGATCCCCGTACGGGCCAAGCATTTTCTGTTTTTTTGGAACGGAAACATTTCTTTCGTATTTTTTCCACATTATTCAGTTTGCTTTCCAGTATATAATTTAGGTTTTGCAGAGATTTCAAATAGCCATCTGTATCAGTCTCATAATGTACAACATCTGATTGTGCATTTTGAATCCCCTAGTGAAAAAAAACTCACGTTTTGTTCCACCGAAGGAATCATTACCGAAAAGAATTAAGTTAGTTTTACTTGAAGTTAGTTAGTTCTATTATGTTTTACTAAATGGGACATTTGTAGAAGGCCGAGAAAAATTTTAGGAGGTTACTGCCGTGACTCGGATTCGAACCGAGGTTGCTGCGGCCACAACGCAGAGTACTAACCACTATACGATCACGGCACGCCACTGGAGGACCGATACAGAGTTTTGGTAATGTGATATATAACAGTCTTGCTAAAACAGTGTTTCTCAACCTTGACCATTTTAAGGCATGTGGACTTCAACTCCCAGAATTCCACAGCCAGCAATGCTGGCTGTGGAATTCTGGGAGTTGAAGTCCACATGCCTTAAAATGGTCAAGGTTGAGAAACACTGTGCTAAAAGGATAACTAACAATGGAGTATAAGTCTATTTGGTATTTCTCCCTTCGAGATATCTTTTCTGGAGCTTTAAAAAAAAAAAAAAGCAAGAGAGTTAATCAGCAGAATAATAATTTTTTTAAAAAAGAGGATCAACCAGCAAAGGGAAGCAAAGAAAAGTGAAGATCCCGCGTCTTCCCACGGACGGAGCTCTGAGCAACCCGACGCCGGGTGAGCGAGCGCGGCTTTTGAAAGCGAGGCAGCCCGATCAGCTTTCTTCTGTCACGTTTCAAGGTCTGGAGCGGAAAAAAAAGACCATAATTTCAGAAAGGCGTTTCCATAAATGCCTTCAATCCGGTTATTAAACGGCGGATTGAATTCAAATTCCTTATTGTCGAGGAACAGCGGCAGTGTTTCTCAACCTTGACCATTTTAAGGCATGTGGACTTCAACTCCCAGAATTCCACAGCCAGCGTTGCTGGCTGTGGAATTCTGGGAGTTGAAGTCCACATGCCTTAAAATGGTCAAGGTTGAGAAACACTGAGCTGAGCTCTCCCGCAGCTCGGTGGAGTTTATGGGAAGTGAAATTCGGCCCCAGATTTGCTGTTACAAAGTTGTAAGCAATGCATCACGAATATTTGGTTTCGATTAAATGGATGTAATATTGAGCATGTCTCCCTCTCTGCTTCTTGCGTGCAGCGGGCTACGTATATAAACTGCCCGTCCTTTGAAGCCTTCGCGCTAGCAAGAAAACAGAGAGATCCTCAAGCAAACGTTTTAATAGGTTGGAGGATTTTGGAAAAGCGCCTGAATTCCTGATGCTTTATTATGCCACACAGTTTTTATACTGCATCAGTCATTCTTTAAGATTATTTTGTGGTCTGAAATCTAGGGTGATCAGAGTTAAATTTCTCGATATGGACTGAAATGCCTTATCAGAAATGTTTGCACTATAATGCTTGAAATAAAAATGCTACATAAACGTGTTTGCAGATCCAAATTTTTTTATTCAGTTTTGGTATAACAATACAAAAAAACAATAAAGATCCCACTAGCAAAAATAACCTATCAATAACATATTGTGACAGTACAGAAAACATTTTCAATTTTGCAAAACTCTGAAACACAATTAAAAACAAAAATTGAGAAACTTCTTATTCTTTTTAAAATTGAAGCAATGTTTTAAAATGCTGCTGCATATCAGAGATCTAAAATTTTAAAAGTAATCATGTTAGTGCCTCCTGCATATTTATTAGCAGTACTCTTAGGAATATGATGCTGGAAAAGGCATGTCAAACTAAGAAACATGATCAAAGAGAATATTTGTAGCTCAGGGCTGAACTGTGGGGTCCCTATTGCTCTCTGAGCTTGGTGGTTTTCTTCTAGACATTTCATTACCAAACTAGGTAACATCATCAGTGCACTGATGCCCAGCAGTGATGTTACCTAATTTGGTAATGAAATGTCTACAAGAAAACTACCAAGGAGCCCATGTTAAGGAACATCTTCAGCACACGTCTGAGAATTTACCAATCATAAAGCACTGTCTGCAACAGCTTGAAATGCCTGTTTGTGTTCCTAGTCATAGATTTCTATATTTTCTGCACAAATAACACTGAGTTTAAAGATGCACACAAATAATGAAGAAATAGTATGAAAAGTTGGGTTCACTATGAAAACTTTGACTTCCTCAAGCTCATAAAGATGGGAAAAAAAGATCCATATAAATTTTGAATGTATTGCTATTAATGTTAGAGATGTTATTTTTTTTTAGAAATATTCATGGGTTTCTCCCTTCAGTTTCTGTATAATGCCAAAGAACTATCTAGTGACCAAAACCAAAAGAGATTCTCAAATCTTTCTTAAATGCTGGTTGTTTTTCACTTTTGCCAATATTCAAAACACAAAATTGAACCTAGGCACAGTGGTTTAAATTCAGAGATATCTTTCAGAAGCAGGAGCACCTTCATTTCCTCATTCTACTGCAGCCCATTATCTCCTTAGAAGCAGACCAGGGAGGACCCAGGCAGCTTGCTGAGAAGTAATCTGATTACTCCAGCTGTGAATGACAGTTTAACATTTTTCTAGATCTAAACCACTGTTAACATACAGCAGCTTGCAATTCCATCCAGTACTCCTGCAAACCCATTTTATTGACATGGATTTAAGAAAGCATTATTAGGATTAGCTGAGAACTTAAGTTTCTATTGACAAAAATGTAAAAAGTTGGCCAAAATTAAGCATCAGATATCTGTGTTCCTCAGAAGTTTGTTTCTGTCCTTCCCGTTACTTAATTCTTAAAAAATTTAATTTGCTGTCCATACATAGTTTACTGAAGGAAACACTTCTCTATGACTGTCTCAGCAAAGATTGTATGTTTGTGCATGAACATGCAGATACTTTATGTAGAATTGATTATGAGCACTTGGAATAGAACCTTTACCTTCTCCTAAACATGTTTCCTGAGAAGCATATTTCAAGAAAGTATGTGAGAAAAAAATTGGTAACCTGAGGTACAATACCACCTTATACTCCTTCTGAATTTAAGTTCCAATGTGTACTCTATAAGAATATACATTTATCAAAAGTATTTCTACAGAAATGTAATTATTTCATTAAAACCTCTGTGCCAGGTGCTGTACAAATGCAGAACTATGAACTTTGGTCCCTGATAAAAGTCTGGGCTGCATTTCATCTTCAGTCAAGGTGTGGATAGTTACAAAGTTTTGTGAGGAGGAACTGAGCTACCAAGATAATTTATCCACTTATTGCACCATAAATGATAGTAGCCAATGTAGACATTCTTTTACAATTTAACAGATGATCATGAGTCAAATAAAGTAGCATTTTAGATTAAATTACAAAAATCATTGTACTGGAAGCTGTTTGGCAAGGAGTCAAAAACACTGCAGCCAACTGAAGACTAAACTGGGTTTGTCAACAACTGTTCCTTTTATGAAAAGTAAGAAAATGTGTTTAAGTCCCTGAAAGAGAGGCATGTAGTCTGCACCTCAGTAACTTGCAGCACTTCACTACATTCTGTTGTTAAGTGCACGTCCTGTTGACTTAATATAATTTTCACTCAGATCTTTACAGTTCCACTAATACAAATGACCAACACTCTACAAAGGAGCAAAACAATTCAGAGGATAGAATCTAATACTATTCCTAAGGCATGAGGTGAGAGAATAGCGAAACATTCATTAGCTGCCATGCAGTGACAGATGAATTTGGGAATGGGCAGCAGAACAAGTTCTTTCCTCATTGCTGAACATGGTCAGCATTCTATTCACTGTATCCAGTCTTTGGGATGGCGTAAAACTTCTAGAATTTCTGCTTCCTTGGAATTCTCTGGTGGTGAATGCATATACTCCCACCTGAAAAGTGGATGTGTACAAAACAGCTATTAGTACTTTTTTCTCCATACACTATTTACAATGTAAGGTTTTAACGTCTGAAGCAAAAAATATTATCCGTTTCATACTCAACTTATTGCAAATTTACTCCTGTTAATACTGTAAACATTACACAATAAAAATCTCTATTGCAAAGGAAAGGATTTACTTTCTATTATTTTCTCTAAAATATCAACACACAATTTCTAAAGCAAACTGCACCTGAGGTTGAAGGACAAGGCAAAGCAGGCTATGTGAGTAAGACAGAAATAGGGAATTTCTACAATGTCCTATTTTCACTTATGTCTCTTGAATTGACCACAACATATTTCACTGCTCTGTTATTCATCAATAGTTGTAGCTTCTCTCGGAACCAGCCACTATGTTAGTCACTGGAAAAAAGAGAATTTGGATAAAGTATACAGAATACAAAAATTCCTACCTGGTGGTCTCTCTCTCTCTCCCTTTCTTTTTCAAATTAATGCCCATTTTAGTTGTTTCTCGTTATGTTCTATCATCCCCTTTTCTCTCTGGTCTTGCCACACAGTGACTTTATTTATTTATAAGATTTATATGGCTGCCTGTCTCATATAATGACTTTAGGCAGCTCAAAACAATTCATGAAAATATGGCTAAAAAAAGAGTAACTCCCTCCCCCCAGCCAAACAGACACTCAGTTCAATCCCCATCCTAGTCTGATGCTTGGGAGAAGAGTTAGGTCTTCATGGCCCTCCAGAAGGCTAAAGGGGTAGGGATCTCAGAGAGAATTCCAAAGAACTAGAGAGCTCAATGATAAAGCACATCTCTGAGGTCCCATAAGGTGGCAACAATTAAGGAAGAGAACTAGAGACCCTATTTAACAAAGTATGGTGGATACCCTCAGGGAAGTGGTCCTGCAAAAAACCTGGTCCTGTGCCATGTAGGTCTTTAAAGTGATAACCAGTACCATGAATTGCACTGGAAAGCAACTGGGAACCAGTACAGCACATGCTAACTTGGATGAACTGCACATGGCACTGCATTCTGAATCAGCTGCAGTTTCTGGATTATTTTCAAGGCCCCTTGTAGAGCACATTGCAGTAATCCAAATGGGAGGTCACTAAGGCATCAGTGGTTTGGTTCACATATCACAGTATGCTACAATGTGGATTGCTTGTTCTAAGACAAAAGATATGTGCGCTCAGGCGTTAAGGTTTATCAACTGTGATTTATAAATTAATGTTACCTGTAGGTGAAGTCAACAAACTCCATCTCAGAATTAGATAAATCTACACCACAATTGACACTTACTAATCTTTAAGATTAAGAAAACACTTCTTTTGCTCTACATAGCTGTTTCTCCCTTCCTTTTGAAAGCTGTGCCACTTTCTTTTCTAATAAACATTCAATTCACTCCTATCCAACAAAAGAGAACAACAGAGAGGTTCATTTCAGAATTAACGCTTCCATTCTTTTGATCTCTGAACAATGCTTATGATTATTACGGATTTTATGGATCTTATGATAGGCCTTTATTATGACATCAGTTGTTTTATGATACGGCTTTATTATATAATCTAGCTGTATATAAGCATTGTAAATAAGCAAATAAATGAATTAACACATGCATGTCCCTCATCACTTGGTACTCATTTAGTTCCCCTAATCTAATGACTGTCTCTGGTCTTTCTAGTCATCTTTCATCAAGTGCTACTTATCACACTAAAGTGTCTGAATGTATTTGAAACTAGATCAAGAGAAGGGCTTTAAGTCTACTGTAATTATAACCCATCTTTTTAATTAAACTATTCCACAAATCTGTTTTGCTACTTCAGTTATGATCTTACCTGGCAGTGAGTGGCAGAGACATAAGAATACTTTCAATTCTTGACCCTGGTGTTGCAAGGCCAAACTTTGTTCCTCTATCATACACAAGATTGAATTCCACATATCTGTTGGAAACAAACAAACAAACAAACAAACAACAAAAGTATTCCTCTAGTATCCTTAAATGGCATTATTTTTCTGTTTTTGCTAACCACTGAGAAAGGCAAAGGCAATACGGTACACTGCAATTTAATTACTGATCCTGCTTAACCTTTATTCTGGCTTTCAATGTTTCACAAAGCATTATTTACTTAATTTCCGGGTAGTTTTCAGAGACAACTATTAAAACACACATAGAAAGTCTTGAACTATTGAGCTGAGTGCTCAATAGCTCACATTTCCATGGCCGCACAGAATCCTGAAACACATATTAATGAACTGCCACCATAAAGAGTAGGATCACTTAAACTTACAGCAGCATTTGTATATCAATAATGACTCAAACAGCATCTTTCTAAAAGTATGGGGAATGTATTATATTCTTACAAAGTAAATTACCCATCTTTGCCATTTATACAATTCTGAAAAGAGGATAAGGAGATATACATCTTGTCTCTTCTGTAGAAAGTCCTTAGTTTAACTTATTGCGCATATTTCACTATTTTTTTTAAAAAAATCTTCATTTGTCTTCTTCACTGGAACAAATATTAAATCTATTATTTAGTAAGACGTTTGAACTTAACACAATTTTCTATAATACTTATTGGTCCTTTCACTCCACTGCATATATTTCTATAGCTTACAACAAAATTATAAAATATTTTTTAATCATCATACAGGGTAAAGAGCAGTTAATCTTATGGAGGAAATAATATGTTTGGTGGAAAGACTGGATAAAAATTTAATAAGCAAACAAATAAATCAGAAATAAGATATAAGGCTGGGATATTTCTTAAATAAATTCTATGCCAGAACTACACCCTAACCTAATAACATTTAAGCAATTATAATTTCTCTAGTATTTTAAAAAACTAGAAATCAAAGGGACAGTGGAGAGGATACTGCAATCACAATTAATTTCTTCATATATGGCAAAAATTGGTGTCTGTCATAAAGATCAGAATTAGCAACTTAAAATTTGGGAAGAAGATAAAGAACTGATGGCGGTAGAAATAGAGATATTATTTGTACAATTTTGACCTATGGAGTTTTCTACCAAATTATTTTCTGTTTTATTGTTATTTCTACGGTTAGCCATAGAAAGACTAAGTATGACATGATACAGCATCTGTTTCAGAAAATGAAATGTAGGAGAGTTACTTCATTTCAAAAACCTCATTCTTATCTTCCAGACCAGCCATAAGAAATGACAGTGGGTGGAGGTGGGGCTACAACAGTTAGAACCCACATGGTTTATCGGAAGACACAAAAGATCCCATTTTTTTAAAAAATAAAGCCCAATCCAGAAAAAAAGAATTCTACTCCATCTAAATTGAATTGGTAACATCAACAATTGTCATATCATCATCAGAAGATGTTTACTTAGCTTGGGATTAGTGAATAGTTCCAATGCTCAAAAAAGTGAAATAAAGCGGTTTGGGAACAGAGAAATCTTAAAATACGCTGTTAAGTGGAACAGGCCAACAACATATATTTTGATTGCATTAAAAGTTTTCAAACATTTTCCAAAATCATATCAAACTGTTAGTGATTAATTTAAAAGTGTTCTATAATATTTAGAATATTTGGAAATAAAAGATGGGGGCATGTGTGTGGCAGTTATTAGATCTGAGTCTTCCAAAAGCCATAATAATAGGAAATCTGGATGTTAACGTTCAACAAATTTCAAGACACTAAGCTAGGAAAATATGGATTAAACAAAGAGCCAAAATGTTTGGGTTAGTGGTCCCAAAGGGTATACCAATCATCCATCCCGATACTCATAAAGACCCTCTTACTCACCTCCCCCTACGGATCTGCTGCCATAATTTTTCTTTTGGTGAGAACTTGTCCTGTGAGTGTTTCTTCACAATGGGAATGTAACAAGGCACAATAGCTTTGGCACAACTCTGCACAAACTGGAAAACTTCTTCTTTTGAAGGCGAGTCCAAGTCATCAAAGAAGATGCCTCCTATTCCCCGCCGTTCTCCACGGTGCTTGATGTAAAAATATTCATCACACCTGTTAACCCCAACATTGCTGGTTAAAAGGGTAACATAGACACAGAAGTCTGAAACACTGAGTCAGAATATGAGAAAACAACCTAGTCTGACTGCTTTGTTTCTAAAGTAAACATTCTATAATTACTAAATAGAAAATATTGCAATATATTCTAAAACTGTTTTAAAAACAGAAAGACCAGTAATCGCTTTCCTGGCTAGAATGAAGAGAGGCCTATTAATTTCAAGAGCTAAACATACATTTAGTTCCATCAGTTTCAAGAATGACAGCAACCATTCAGAAAAAATTCTGATATGAAATTCCTACGTACCATTTCTTGAACTTAGGATATAGTTCAGGATTATGCTGATCACAAGCGTCCTTCAGAGTTTTATGAAAATGAATAGCATCATCTTCATTCAAGTAAGTTGGTGTAAGGTCTGTTCCACCACCAAACCACCACTGTTTAGCACCTAAGAGAATAGAAAAGAGCCATCATTTCTTTTTGTTGTATTTTTGTAGATACTCTTGTAATATAAGAATCATCATGTCCATTTAGTTACAATTCATCTCTAATATAGAAAAGGGGCTATTAAGATCTTAAGGACTTAAAGTAATTTAACTGAAGAGACTCATTGCATGCATGGTTACTTAATATATTAGATCTCCTCAGGTTTAATGTTATACAAAGTCAAACAAGTACAAAAGCAAATTGCTAGTTCCGTTTCTTGGACACACAATTTATCTCTCTACAAAAAAGTCTCTTATTAAAATAAGACCTTAATTATAAAATCTTATGCTCAACAACTGCTTCCTTAATTTTTTTTTTTCAATAGTACTAACCTTTCTGGAATTTGTGAGTGTGTGAATATGACACTAATTACAGAGGTTCATTCAAATTTGTCAGGTTATTGTTGACTCAAAAAGCTTTTCCTGTCTCTACTATTACCAAAATGTCAGGGATATCTGCAGACTCTCAGTGCTTTCAACAAAATGATAACAGCAGCATCAAGCTGCAAGCTCAGCCCTGTTTGAGCACGCATGCAATGTCACAGAAAAGAAGAGGGCTCAAACACTCAACTTCTCCCTTGCATAACTTATATAATTCTGGGTCAAGGTATAGCACTTACCATCTGCATCTTCAATTTCAAAGTATCTGTAATTGAAGTGTATAGTGGGAATGTAAGGATTCTTTGGATGAATGACAGAACTCACTCCCATAGCACAAAAGGGCAATTTTCCTAAATAGCAATGAAGAAAGGATGTCTTAGTCAACAATGAAAACATAAGTCCAGAGCTGCTGCAAATCAAGCAGCATATAAATGTAATAACAATAACAATAACAATAACAATAATAATACAAAGCAATTGAAAAACAAAACAAAATTGTAAGCTTTCTAAATGTTCTCTTAACTCTGCATTTTACACTCCAGAAGCACCTCTGGATCTGCAATCTCTAAGAGAAAAGACATATTTGCTATTTAAGATTTTGCAAGAAAGAATATGTCTCACTATTCAGAACATAAAGGGCCTGGAAAAGACCTATGGAAACTTCCTATTTTTGTGATTTTTTTAGATTTTTTCTATGGTCTTCATTAACCAGAAGAAATCACAATGAACTAAGTAGGGTTGACTTAGATAGATTTGTTCCTGGCCCCTATGGGAAGCTGGACGATGGATTAGATTCACTTTTTGTTTAACCCAACAGAAGTTGTTAGATTTTTTAGCAGATTTCATGTATGAAGTCTTACCACTTTTGGTCTTTAGAGTTTTCCCCCTACTTCTCATCTGCTGAGCTGCTTCTTCAGAAAGATGTCCAAAAACAACTGAAACATTGACACCAGCCTTCTCAAAGATTTCACCATCTTGAAGTACACAGCTGATGCCTCCGCCACCTGTTAATAAAAAAAACAGCAATTATTTCAACGGCCAATTTACAAAGTTTAGAATAATATTTTTCAATTATGGAACTGTTCAGATAGTTATGTAGGATCCTTTGTTTTTGAGTGCAGGCAGTTGACAACCATAGTTTTGCCAGGATTAGTAACTGAATTAGAGAAAACTCAAGGGATCAAATTCTGTTACTCTTTGATATGGCCTCCCAGCAACTAATTTTAGAAGGCTGCTAGGAATTGTGTGTAATTTAAGGGAAAACTGATGAAGGTAAAACTGATGGATTACATTTGCAGTCTGTGGCAAGGCCTGGTTCATTTGTTCAGAACCAACAAAACTTTTTCTTTGCTTCTTTTGGGGGAAAAGCAAGCATAGTTGAAAATTTCTGTGCCAAAATGTCAAAATAATAAAAGTAGAGGCCAGGCATATTCTATTCAGCTATTTTCCTAAAGCATAACATCTGAGGCATAAGACAAGTTATAAATCATAGTCTGTCTGTTAATTACTCAAAGGACCAGTTGTTTATATATTTTATTTAGCAGTAACATTGTATGAACTGATACCCTGAAACAGACATCATTTCTTTTTTGTAATACAGCAGTTCTTACGTATATACAGAATAATTTACTTCTCCAAGTCTACCACTGTCACTCTTTTCTGTTTATTGTCTCTTGGCAAGATTTCAGAAGTGGTTTGCCACTGCCTCCTTCCTACGGCCAAGAAAGAGAGTGTGGCTCAAGATCACCAAGTGGCTTTGTTCCTAATGGTCTCCTGATCTTTAACCTGGTGCCTTAACCACTACACTAAACTGGCTCACTAAAGCTGTGTATTAAAAGAGATAAAATTATGCTTAGTAAAAAATACTGGACATAAATTTTGTTGATCAAACACATACTATTTAAATGCCTTCGGAATGTCTAAGTCATGGGTGTCAAACTCGCCACATCACGTGACGTGACTCTTTTTGCATTGCCGGCAATGGGGTGGGCGCGGCTTTGGTATGATGAAACCGGCCTGCGGGCCGGCAGTTTGACACCCCTACTCTAAGTAAATCAATTGGGTTTCCTGAACTATGACATATCACTCATCTGTAAAAAAACAGAGGAATGACACTGTACCTTTTACCTTTACTTGGCAGGTATAAGAGTGTAGAGGCAATGTTGCAATCAACACCACACAATCAAAGTATCACTGTGGTATTTCATAACACAAACAGATCCCTGCAGCTAATTTTGCATTACAGATACAAGGGCACACAATTCCATGTAGAACCAGTTTGGCGTGGTAGTTGAGGTGATGGACCTCAACCTGGGAGATCCAGGTTCAAATGCACCTTCAGCCACAAAAGTTCACTGGGTGATTTTGAACCAGTTGAACCAGGCAGCCCAGCTTACCTGTCGAATGAACAAGAACTGGATGAAGGAGTACCATGTATACCAGGGGTGTCAAACTCGCAACATCATGTGTCGCAACATATCATGACTTTTTTTTGCCATTGCCGGCAATGGGGTGGGCGCGGTTTTGCTATGATGCATCTGGCCCGTGGGCTGGCAGTTTGACACCCCTGATGTATATCATCTTGAGTTCCAGAAGGCAGAGCATGAATCTGACAAATTAGTTACATCAATCTAGATTTAATCACTTGATATAGATTAAAGAAAGGATGTTAGGCTCTGTGGGACAGAGCATGGAGTTTTCTTAGTAACAATACCAATTTCTGGTATCACCTTTTCCAACTAAAAGAATATTGAAAGGCATACGCTTTCATGAGTTGCACCAATGCCTTTTAAATTAAATGTGTAAGTTGTAAAGGTGTTACCAGAATCTTCCTGGTTTTTTTTTTTTTTTGGCATCATAAACCAACATGGTTCTCCACCTACAAAATACATAAATGTTTTGCTGCTATCTTTTCGCAAGCCTTTAAAAAATTTTTTAGACTTGAGGTTACCTAGTTACCTCTTATCCAAGTATTAACTAAGTGCCACTCTGTATGGCTTCCTGGATCAGCTATGGTAGGGTTTCCACTACCCAGCTGGTAATACATATTTTGTATTCCTGAAGATTCTTGAAGCAGCTTTTTACTATCCTTCAAGCCCGTAGCCATTTTGACACCTATCTCTTGGTCATGCAGAATCTTGGACACTTCCATTGTGCTTGCTTGCTTGTTTTTAAAACGGAAAAAAAGAAGTTTCTGAATAACCAACACCTTTGAGATGCTTAGTACGATCTCAAACATACTAAAGGGAAAATAAGAATGCTACTCTATTCAGTGAAACTTGGTAGGGAGTAAAGAAGCCAATTTTCAGACCTAGCCAAATTCAGTCCCACATCGGCAGGCGGGGCAATTACTCCGGATTAGTTCCAACCTGCAGAGGTGCGAGTGTGCGGCCCCCCGAGAAAGGAACGGGTCCCCACTCTACCCCGGAATTCGGGTCACCTTCCTTCCTTTCCCAGCGGTCCACGGTGAAAGCGGCGCCGCGGTCGACCTGGGCCAGCGCGTTGCACACCTGGCTCTGCGTCTCCATGACGAGCAGCTCCATGCGACTTCGCATGTCTCCGCGCCGGTCGCGCAGCTCTCGCAGTCCGCTCACCGGAGGAGCCATGAAGCTCTCGCACAGCCTTGCCAGATCTTCCTCGTCTTCCTTTCCCCACGGCTTTTCGAGTTGTCGTTGCTGCTGCCGCAGAGGCTGCTCTTTCATCTCCGCCCGCCGCACCAGTCCCAGCCCGGCCAGCACCACCGTGGCTCCCGCAGTCCAGGCGAATGCCGATCGCTGCCACCGACCATCACGCCAACGGGAAGAAGGGCCCGGCGGCGATTCCAAGGAGCCCGAACCGAACAGTCTGGAGCAGCGCGGCCCGGACCGGAGCGTGAAACCCCGGGCGCCCAGGTGGCGAACCCCGCACAGGAGAAAGGACATGACAGCGAGCGTCCAGTTCCTTCAGCGGCCGTCCAGATCGCCGCCAAGCTAGGAAAGCGCGTTGCGCACGCCCCTTCGGCTGCAGGCCCGGAAGAGGTGGGGAATGCAGAGCAATAGCTCGTGGGGAGTACAGTTTCACTGGCAATCGCGCCTATCTCGAACGTTGCATTTGGACTACAACTCCCAGCAGCGCTCGTGGAAGAAGCAAGAAAGAGCTTCGCTTTTAAATACTTGAGGCGTGAGACAGAGGCACGTAGGAAGAGGAGATTGCAACGTCGTTGCGTAAAAATTAACAGACTGTTTGCTTTATCTTTTACGGGATGTGTGTGGGGGGAACAGCGAGGTTTGTCAAATTCAGCGGCATGTGACTCGTCATTAAAAATGCTTAACCTTATCACGCGGAGCCTAGTTGCAACAAATAGAAGACTACAATGTATTTACTAATTCTCCCCCTACCTGGTGAAACACAATTGTAGTTGTGCAATTCTGCTTTGATTCAGAGTTGAATGAGACCGAACATCTTATTTGGAAACGGGCGTGTAATCCCGCTCGAGAGAAAAACAGCAGACAAGAAGCAATAAAGTGTGAATAACCAGCAGAAGACGGAAAAGGGAATTAACTTCCCAACTGCTAACCTTTCCTCCTCCAGGCAGGGCAAAACTGCTTTTGAATTCGGTGATTGCTCGGAAGGGTAGAGATAAATATAATAAGACCCCTTCCTACTTTTTCTTCCTCGTTTGGACATACATTATGGAGCGTGGGCGCAAGCAAGCCCCTCCGCTTGGTACCTCCGAAAGCGGAAGGGCGAGGGACAAACGGGCAGCTCTCATCTTCCCCCGCGGTCCACACAATAAACTGAAATGCAAAAGTAGGCCCAAGGAATTGACTAGAGCCAGCATTTGTAACAAGCCACAATGGTGTCAAAAGTTGTGTCATTGAATCAACGGTCCAATAATGTAATGATGTCAGCCTTGTGAGGCAGACAAGACAGGAAGCAGGCCCAGATGAGTTAATTCTACTTTTTTCTTTGGTTACATTACCGATTTTTTAAGTTCGAAAGTACATTTTTCTCTCTGTATGACATTACTTTTATGCAATGGTGGGATTCAAATATGTGAACAACTGCTTCTCTGTGTGGATGCCGCTTCCGGAAGTCCATTCTGGGCCTGGGCAACAAAAAAATTAGCTACTGGTTTTGCCAAACTGGTGCGAACTGGCTGAATCCCACCACTGCTTTTATGGCCCTGAGAGTAGAAGCAAGAAGTGGACACCTTTTTGAATGGAGCTGGATTTACACATCATGATGCATCATTAACCTGACAACCACCATGTTTTATTGTAGTATGATCCTAGACAACACATGACCCCTTGAGGAGGGGATTTACACATCATGATGCATTATAAACCTGACAACCACCATGTTTTATTGTAGTATGATCCTAGACAACACATGACCCCTTGAGGAGGGGATTTACACATCATGATGCATTATAAACCTGACAACCACCATGTTTTATTGTAGTATGATCCTAGACAACACATGACCCCTTGAGGAGCTGGATTTACACATCATGATGCATCATAAACCTGGCAACCACCATGTTTTATTGTAGTATGATCCTAGACAACACATGACCCCTTGAGTCATTGTTTCAGAGACATTTCCTTTCCAGATTCTACAATGCCTTCAACAATGGCAAAACAAAGGTACTGCCTTCACTGGAAACGTTAGGATATATTCAGAGATGTATCTTCCTTGAAAACAGCCAATGCTGAACTGTAGTGTATACAGTGAAACATCACTAGTTGACATCGGGAAATGTTTTATAATAATTGTTAAATCATAAAATGGTTTATAAAATTTGCCAAATTTGAACCCAACAGGAATCATAGGTTCTGGATTTTGGATACACATTCTGTAAGTTAGCCCATTTGAGGTGCGTAGATACTTATTCCCCTATAGTGCACCGTTTCTTTTCCTTCCTCCCTCCCTCCAATTCCTGCCAGCTTGTTTGTGGGAAATTTACAGATAGAAAGTCAGTGGGGACGCCAGTAGGAAGATACAAGTTCACAAAGAGGCAGGTATGTGACTGCTGCTGGGTGGGGATGAAACACAAGTATATCATAAAATCAATCACACTCCAAAACATGTTAAGTAAACCCAAAGATCTAGTAGCCCCAGAAGAAAAAAAATCTACACCATACAGTGTAAGGATTTTAACAGCTACTAGATAGGACAGACAGGCACAATATATCCATGAATACCAACTAGCAGTCAAAAGACATGAAAACTCCTTAACTGCACAACACATGGACAAACTTAACCTTAGTTTTAACTGGGAAACTGTGAGCAGCCTAGACCAAGCTAAATCCAAAATGCTAGAGAATTCCTAGAAGTTTGTCACTCTTGACAAATCAGCCATCAACAGCCACATAGAGATGAACAACATTTACACACCAAGCAAAAGAGACAATCAAAAAGCTAAAAAGGAACCAAAAAGACCAGAACACCTCATCAGCAATGAACACCCAGATTAAGCAGGGATTAACACCAGAATTTATACCAGGTCGACAATCAAGTAATAAACAACACCCCAATCAAGGAACTACCAACTTAAACAATCAAACAGTAACACCTCAGTCATGGTCAAGAAGAAAATGCTTCCACTAACACTGATGGGGCAGTATATAATTCTGTATATAATTGTATATAACAGAGTATATTGTATACCATTGTATATAGAAGAGAACAAACCCACTCCCTTCTAGTATTGAAGATATTACTTGGTTGGGTAATGTCTGCAAGAAAACAACAAAGCTCAGAGAGCACCAAGGACTCCACATTTCTTTTCTTTTTTTTTTTTATATAAATTTTTATTATTTTCATCATAAAAAAAAAACACATCACAAATACATCACAATGTAAAAACCCTACCCCCCCCCACCCCCCC